CCGGTCGACAGCGTAGAAGGCAAAGGTGTTACCCACTACACCATACCAACTTCTGCATCAGAAAGGTGCAACAGGAAATTTAGCTAGCTAGTGTGTCTCTGAATTATATTTGGAGGGCCATGTAGCCCTAACACTTCGCCCAACCCCACTATCTTAACAAGAATTGGGACACTCTACCCCCAGACGTGAACAGGCAAAACAAAGGGGTAGAGCTAAGTGGTAGGCTGAAATGGGATTGTGCCTTAGTGAGATTAGTTGCCATGACATATTATCAAGCTAAGTGTACTGCCAAAGATGTTTATGGTCTTTGTTTTGGCTCTATACCTTTTTTCTGTTCGAGTGTTGTTTAATTATGCTGCTCCTGAGAACTTTGGGAAGCTCCTTTACCTTCATCATGATTGCTACTTGCGGCATGAAGTCTTCCCAATCAATGGCACTGGTGACTTTATGCTTAGAAGTAGATACATTTATTTGCTCATGTTTATAGGTAAAAGGTCAAAGGATTACATGATATGTGTATGTTTGAAGTGGATATATGCACTAGAGGTGTATTAAATAACAAAACTAATGCACCTGAATACTTGATTCCCATCACTGTAGTTTCTTGCGGATTTTCCAGTTTAACCATATTGGTTTGAGTACTTTCAACACTTAAAAATTATGTGTTAATTAAAACCAAAATTTCTGTTTAATCTATATGCTTTAACATGCCTTAATATGCACACTATATGTGTTCTTTAATGAAAAATAAACAGATTATGTATTGTTTAGGACATAAAACCCCAAGTCCAAAAAAGTCTGGGCACTGTGCAGAATGTAAATGAAAAAAGAATACAATGATATGCAAATAATTTAAACCATATTTGTAAAGGAAAATAGTACAAGGACAACATTTCAAATGTTAAAACTGAGAAATTCTATTGTTTTTTGAAAAATACATGCCCATTTTGAATTTGATGCCGACAAAACATACCAAAAATGTTGGGAGGGCATGTTTACCACTGTGTTTCATCAATTCTTCTTTTAACAACACTCTGTAAGCGTTTGGGAACTGATGAGACCGACTGCTGTAGTTTTGAAACTGAAATGTTTTCCCATCCTTGTTTGACATATGATTTCAGCTGCACAACAGTTCAGGGGCCCATATTTTGTCATATTTTTCATTTCATAATGTGCCAAATGTTTTCAGTGGTGACAGGTCTTGACTGCAGCCAGGTCAGTTTAGCACCCAGACTCTTTTAATACGGAGCAATGCTGTTGTAATATATGTAGAACGTGGCTTTACATTGCCTTGCTGAAATAAGCAAGGCCTTCCCTGAAAAAGATGTTGTCTGGATGGCGGCATATGTTGCCAAAACATGTATATATCATTCAGCATTAATGGTGCCTTCACAGATGTGTTCGTCACCCATGCCTTGTGCACTAATGCATCCCTACACCATTATGAATACTGGCTTTTGAACTGTGCACTGATAACAAGCTGAGTGGTCTTTAGCCCAGAGGACGCAGTGTTCATGATTTCCAAAAAGAATTTCAAATTTTGATTTGTTGGACCACAGGACATGTGCCACTTCCCCTCAGTCCATTTTAAATGAGCCTGGGCCCAGAGAAGGTGGCAGTGTTTCTGGATCCTTTGTGTTTTAGAGTTTTAACTTGCATTTGTGAATGCAGCGACAAAGAAGTGTTTCTGAGTCCATGCAGTGACTACAGAATCATGTCTGTACCTTTGATGATGAAAAGCAAAAGTTATTCTTGAATTGTTGCGCTATTTGCTTGTGCAGTCTTTCACAGAGTGGTGAACTTTGAAAGACTCAGCCTCTCTGGGATGCTCTTTTTATACCCAATGAAGTTACTGACCTGTTGCCAATTAAGCACCAGGTGTTTTTTTGGCATTACACAAATTTACCATCCTTTTGTTGTCCCTGTCCCAACTTTTTGTGTTTGCATCAAATTCAAAATATTTTTTCCAAAAATAATACAATTTCTCAGTTTCACCATCTGATATGCTGTCTTTGTACTATTTTCAATGAAATGTAGGGTTTAAATGATTTGCACATCATACACATATATACATTTTTTACATATTTGTCTAGTTTACATTTTTTTCTTATATAATTGTAAAAAAATTGGAAACATTTCATGATGGATGGACCAGAATAAATGGTCCAGAGCAAAATCTTGTTCCAGTACCTGTGACAGGTGCCCATCCCCTGGGCTTTCACGACAGCCGCGAAAGCACAGACAACAATCCGCAGTGACTGCAGGGTGAGGATGATAACTGTGAGGGCTGCGGGGATGGTGCCTGAGTCCCGAAAACTTTTTTCTGCCTATTTTAGTGCACAAATTCTATTTATTAGCTAAATTTAAGTTTATGGAAAAAAAACATAAACAATCAAATGTGCCACAGCCATGTTTTATGCTTTTTTTCAGTATGTTAAATTCAGCAAATGAACAGTAATTATAATGTGAATTAAAATGTGCAGAAGTGTGTTCTTTGGAGAGGATGTGTTCCCTTAGTTACACTAAGAAAATCAACAACTTGGAATTTGGCCAGGGCACCCAAACTGTTGCACACAACTCTAGAGCAGCAGATGAAACCAGAAAACAAATCCAACTATTACCATTACTCCAACACTAGTCTCAACCTCTGAGGCTCCACCCACAGAGCTAGTCTGGAATTGTTGCTCATGAAACTATATAAACACTCACACACAAACACACACACACACACACACACACACACACACTTCACCATATACTTGCAGATAACTTGAAGGTTCCACATCTCAAACAGGTAAGTGTTGAAATAAAAAAAAAAAGTGAAAAAGGAAAAATACTGATTGAAAAGTCCAGGGAAAAGTAAAAGGTAGCTCTTCAGAAATAGTCCATATTTAGTTGGCGTTGTACTCTTGGGATGAAGCTGCATCAGTGACCTTAGAGCAAGCGAAAACCCCAACAAGGGTTGCCAGGTCCAGCGAAAATCTCCAGCTCATGTTGCGCTTAAAATCTGCCCAAAAAAGGCTGAAACTGAACTGAAATTCAATTACAAATTATATGGTCATATAGTAGTCATGTAGTAGTATATTCAGAGGTGGGTAGTAATTAGTTAATTACTAGTTTACTTATTAGTACATTGACAGTTTTTTCTAGTTCTAAGCAAACTGTGGGCTGAGAACTTTGGCCTGTTTTGTCGTAGAGGATACTAAATACAGAAAGGTCTGTGGACTCTTTAAAATGGGAAAACAGACATCATAATAAAACTGAAAAATTGTGGTTCATTATTTCCAAGTGTTGTCTTAAACTCAGGAGAGTTTTGTTAGAGGGAATTAAATGCTGATTAAAGAACAAACAGGTCAATGGGCACCAAAAAAATATGTAGCGCTGCACACAGTGAGCAACACTGAGAGGTTCAGGCCTTGTAGTGTTCTTGAGAATGGAAGATGGCTCCATTAGAGAGCTGAGCATTTTGCCAGAAAACACAAAATAGCTATACTGACCCTGATGCTAACTGACCACAGCAGAGCAAATGAAAATGGTTTAATCCAAAATCTGAGGTTGAAATATTTCGTGTATACATTCAAATACATATAGGATGATTGTAATAAAACAAATAAACAATTATTATACAAGTGAAAGAGGTTGTAGTTTGCTGTCCTTTGAAAGAATTGAAATTCGAAAGTAATTTAACGGCCTATCCACTAAAAATGTCAATGCAAATGAATGCTTCATAATTAACATATGAGCAGCTCAGTATAACCACACTTTTGACTCACATGCTTTTTTATGGAAGTCCATTCCCACCAGGTTGGAGAATAAGTCTGCATTCCAAACTGCACACTAAAGCACTAGATAGTGAGTAAAAATAGTGCACCAGCAGTGGAAGTGCATTCATTAGTGTAGTACATAAACTATAGCAGCGTGTGATTTGGGACACAGCCAAAAACATCTTTATCTAGCATGGTGGCGGGGTCGGTAGCGCTGTCGCCTCACAGCAAGAAGGCCTGGGTTTGATTCCCCGGCCGGGCGACCAGGGTCCTTTCTGTGTGGAGTTTGCATGGTCTCCCTGTGTCTGTGTGGGTTTCCTCCCACAGTCCAAAGACATGCAGTTAGGCTAATTGGACATGCTAAATTGCCCCTAGGTGTGAGTGTGGGTGTGAATGTATATGTCTGTCTGTCTGCCCTGCGATGGTCTGGTGACCTGTCCAGGGTGTATCCTGCCTTCTGCCCGATGACAGCTGGGATAGGCTCCAGCACCCCAGCGACCCAGAAGGATAAGCGGCTTTGAAGGTGTGTGTGTGTGTGATTCTGGTTCAAATTGTGACTCATTAGGTTGAAATAATGACTTTTCTCAAGATTTTGGTTATTACTCTGTGAGAAAGTGCTTGATTATTTCAGCATAATGTATAATTAATTTGAGAAAATAGTATGTTATTTCACAATGTTATAAATATATAATAGAGACAATAAGTAATTTTTTTGATTATCTGTTTGGAAACGTTGGTTTGGTGGTTTGAGCTGAACTTGAGTTCTGTGCCAAGTACATTTAGAAATCATGTGGCATTGTAAAATCCTTGATTAATCACTGTTCGATTGGAAAGTGTATGATTTTGACTTATGACGAGCACATCCAAAATAAATAAATGTGATAAACTCTCTCTTTTTTTCTCTCAGCCACAAAAACAGCCTCCACGTTAGCACCAAAAATAAGGCAAGCTTTTCCAGGAGTTAAAGAGCAGACAGTATTTACGATCAGCCTCATTTAATCTCAGTAAGAGCTTCATTTTAATAATCTCCGCCCAGTATTCTGTGTTTAGAGAGGGAAACTCCAAAAAATGAATAGGCAAGTGAGACAAATGCACAAAAGAGCAGCTCTGCCCCTTTTGTCTTACACACACTGTAGAGCTGCTGCCCCTTTTTCAATAAATCATAACCAGTTTTTTTAAAACAGTGTTTGCGATGGTGCAAAATGTCAGTAAATCTGCCTCTTACTCTGTTTTAGAATGAGGATTTTGCTCACTGTTGTTGCTCTTGTGGTGGTGGCCGGTGCTGCCAGCGTCTCTCTGGAGGATCTGGAGTTCAACACCTGGAAACTGAAGTTTGGTGAGAAATTTACATCAAATCTGATTCTGTATAACACATTTTTGCAGTTGAATGGTGTAAAAACTGCAAGAAGTATCTTAGAATTACTGATTCTTGCCAAAGACTGTATGACTAAGTAATTGTTCCAATAATATTGTTCTGACTTGTTTTGGAATAAACTTTTTAAAGTTTCACTGTAGATTGTGTTTAATAGGTTGGCCTATATAACATTTCTTTTTATTAAGAATGTGAATAATTAACCCCCTAAGTAACAGCAAATCAAAAAGCCCAACCACAAAATCAAAAACACGACAGCAACTTCAAAGCCACAATAGCAAATTCAGACATGCAAAAGCAAATTCAAAAACACAAATGCATATTCAGAAATGCAACAGCAAATTCAGGAATGCAACAGCAAATTCAGGAATGCAACAGCAAATCGAGAAATGCAATAGTAAATTCAGAAATATTACAACAAATTCAGAAAGATGATCGTAATTTTAAGAGAAATTCAAAACAGTCTCAGAGAGAAAATTTGTGTTCTGAGTGTTGGCAGCTCATGATGCCTTTTATACCTGGACATGTCTCATCTAATTAAAGCTCTGAGCCATTTGCCAGTTTCCTGTCCAAAATATATGTGATGAAGTTGTGTTTCAGCAGCTCAGAGAAAAGCAGAAACTCTGAAGCAGCCTGGAGTAGCAGAGCGTGTATGTGTTTATAGTATGTGTATCTAGGGGAAATAATGTATATGTACTTTACACATACTGTATGTTTGTGTTACACATAGGTAAGAGTTATGGTTCAGTGGAAGAGGAGTCTCAGCATAAGATGATCTGGCTGGACAATCTTAAGCTGGTCCTGGAGCACAACATGCTGGCTGACCAGGGCATCAAAAGCTATAGACTCGGCATGAACCGCTTTGCGGACATGGTGAGATCCCACTTAGACATTTCATTACACAATTCACTGAATCTTTCCTGCAACTCTGTTTATTATGTGCTGTTCAGTAACTATATTTGATGTCTGGATTGTCACAATCCTCTCACCATCTTCTCCAACAGGATAATCAGGAGTACCAGCAGATGCTGAAGGGCTGCCTGGGAGCCTTCAATAAGACTGAGACTGAGAGCGCAACTACATTCCTCCAACGGGTAGAGAGCGCTGCTCTGCTCAGGACTGTGAATTGGAGAAAAAGGGGCTATGTGACCAAAGTTAAGGACCAGTGTCATTGTGGCTCCTGCTGGGCCTTCAGTGCAGTGAGCCACAGCAGGACAGACAGAGAGGGAGAACAGGATGGAGGGATAATTTGAAGTATAATTGGCACTATGCATTAAATATACACTGATATTCACTAATATGTTTTGCACTGTGTGTACTTTGCGCTATCTGTGCTTATATGTGCTGCTGTTTATGACAAAATTCGCAGGCAGAAAGAAAAGGAAAAACAAAGTGATAATGGAGAATAGAGATGGTGCTGGTTTTAGAGACTGCACACGTTTTCTTTATTTTTCCACCTCTGTTAATTTTCTGTTGTCCTTCTCTTTCAGACAGGGGCGCTCGAGGGTCAAATGTTCAAGAAGACAAAGCAGCTGGTAAGCTTAAGCGAGCAACAGCTGGTGGACTGCTCCCAGAATTTTGGAAATAAGGGCTGTCAAGGTGGTTTTCTGCACAAGGCCTTTGAGTACATCAAATCCAGTGGAGGCCTGGAGACAGCGAGTACCTATCCATATCAGGCCAAGGTGAGGCTACCGTAGTTAATGATGCCAATATTTTTATTAAAACATAGAAATCCATTTGTAACCCAAATATAGTCAATCAGATCAATATTTGTTTTTTGAAGTTGGCACTACAATGCTAATGGAGCTAACATGTAATGAAAGCCAACTGTATGCCAATTAGCATGGTGCGAACAGCATGACTTTTGTCCATGTATTTTTATCCATGGTATATCAGTTGTCGATATTTTTTGTCAGCATATCAGGTAGGGGTGGGAATCTCTAGGCACCTCCCGATTCGATTCGATTACAATTCCGAGGGCTGCAATGCGATTATAAAACGATTATCGATGCATCTCGATGCATCTTTTTTTCTACATAGCATTTATATTTTCTCACTGTGTGAGCTCAAGTTTTGAGTTCAAGTTTCAAGTTTATTTGTCATTTGCACAACGTCAGGACATTTCTGCATTGAATTGCTTGTGGTAGACTCAGCTAATCACTCTACAGAAAGTAAATAAGTAAAAATAAAAATACAAGAAAAACCAACTGAAATATATTAAATATACACAGAATATACATAGAATATAGAAACAATATACATTTTAAAGTGACTGACTTGGTTTTATTGTTATTTAAAGCCACTTGGTACTTTTAAAGCAAAGTATTTGTAGTGATCCATAATGAATTTACTCCCAATATCTTTTTTAATAAAACAAATGGAAGTGATGTGGCAAGTGAACTAGAACGCTCTCATTCAGTGCTCTTGTTTGGAGCACGAGAAGCTGCTGCTACTCATCTGCGATAAAATGCGCAGTTACGGTGAAATAAGATCCAGTGTCAGTGGATCTCCACGCAGCACATGTTACAGCTATTCTACCCGTCTTCTTTAGTGATTTTATAACTTCGGTTTTGGTCTCGTTGTAGAGACGGGGGGATCGCTGTGTCAGTAAAGTATCTTTGAGACGGGACGTGTGCAACATAGCGCGAAAGCCCTGTTTCGCAACGACTGAGAACCGCCGTGCAGACTGCAGGTCGCATAGCAGCGATGCATTATTCGCATTTATAAGCAGCACAGTTGGTTTCCTAGTACGTTAAATCTGCAACCAGAGACTGTCACACACTAAAAAGTGGCGAAGCTGAAGTCGCATCTCTTTCAAATTCTCCCATTCCACTTTAAATGGTGCCGCATTTACATTTGGCGCCTCAGTTAGAATTTAAGGTGGAACAGGAAAATTTGAACAAGAAACTGGAGAATGAGAAGCGACTTCAGCCTCGTAAAACAGTCGAACGTTGAGAGACATTTAACTGATCTACTTCTGAGGAAAAGTTTTCTGGCGGAGATGGGAGGAAAAGCAGCTATAGCTAAAGCTTAAAGCGGAGCGAAGTAAATCTGCGATTTCGTTTATATTGTTTAGCCAATACTAGGACATTATCGTATACTGAGACATACTGGACATTAAATGTTGCGGCTCCCAAGCTGGTTTGATTTTTGTTGAAAGAACAAAATGTTATCATTTGGGTTGTGACTCCTGACCTAACCTGGCTTTTAATGCAGAGGGAACCAGTCGGATTTCTCACTCATCCAGTTGTGTTTTTGATATGTGCCACCACAGACTGTCCGGGCGCTGCACTTCCACACTTCCAAGTTCCGCCTTTTGCATTCCGTCAACAGTACATTATAAATTAAATATTTAGAAAATCGATTTTTGACATTTAGGAATCGATTCAGAATCGTTCATGTCCGCACCGCGATGCATCTAAAAATCTATTTTTTCCTGCACCCCTAATATCAGGTGTGTGATGATTTAGGCATGCCGTTTGTTCGGTGCTAATTGGTGGGGTCTTAGTTGTTAGCCTTATAGCTCCAGTGCAAAACCTTTTAGTTTTGGCACTGTTCATCTACATTTGGGGTGAAGGGAAAATTGTGGAAAATGGATTATTGAAACTCTCCCTTTGAACATTGAATCAGAAGTGTTCCTGATTGCTTTCATCTCTCCTCAGGAAGAGGTGTGCAGGTTTAATAACCAGAAAACTTGGGCTACCTGTTCTAACTATAAATGGGGGGCACCCACAGAAGACGCTCTGCAGTCCGCAGTGGCCACAATCGGACCTATTTCTGTAGCTGTAGATGCCTCCCAACACAGCCTCCAGCTGTATGAGTCAGGTAAAAAAAAAACCTGTGGTACTCATTAGCATATTCTGTCATTGAAGCACTTAGAGTATCTCACAAGTAAAGAAACATCCATTTTAAATGAAAACGGTTTGGCAGACAGTGATCCAATTTTGGACACAATCACTGTTAGTCCATTTCACCAACACAGAACATTTCCTGATTTCTAAAACCGTTTTTATATTATATGGGTGTTTCCTTACTTTTAAAACACACTTTACTGTATTAGAGGTGTGGTTTATGCATTGTGCAAAGTAGGTCGCATTTCCACAGCCCTGCCTAAATGCACATTTTATCATTTGCACTTTTTGAATTTGTAACTTACACATTTTTAATGACTGCAGGTGTGTATGATGAGCCAAACTGCAGCAGCACCAACCTGACTCACGCTGTTCTGGCTGTTGGTTATGGCACTGAAGGTAACAGACTAGACTACTGGCTGGTCAAGAACAGGTAAATGAACAAGTTAATGAAACACCAAACATTCATGATGAATGATGAATTCATAATGAATCCAAGAAAGTTAAATAACATGCAACACTTTTTTGCATGTTTTTTTTTTGGGGGACACTTTTTGGGTAATGTGCTTTATTCAGAAGACAAAACCAATATTGACAGTCATTTATTTTGCAGCTGGGGTGTTAACTGGGGTGATAAAGGCTACATCAAGATGTCCAGGAACAAGAATAACCAGTGTGGTATTGCCACATATGCTGTCTACCCTGAGGTTTAAAGGTATAACATCATTAAAGGTGGTTTCATTCTTCATCCACAGAGATTTACACTTTCAGAAATAAACTGTCACCTCTTTTAACTGGGATGGGGCTCTCAAGGGTAAATCTCAGTACCTTTAGTCAGGGAACATAACTTTACCATAATCCACTGAAATATTTTCTAAGTTGTATTAACTCCACACACCCCGTCTCGTCTCCAGGCTTCTTATTTTATTGTACTGTGTTAAAACATAAGGTTATGAAGAGGTACAAATACGTGCTTTGAATGAGACTTTTTTAAACCAGATTGAAGGTGCAAGTAATTATCAGCTTGAATGACCATTGGAAACTCCAACAGTCAAAAGTTCTTTTGATCCAGAAACCCAAAAATGTTTAAGCTACAACCATTTACATTGCATGTATTTGCTGTTTTCCATAGCATTTCCTATTAAACATCACTATCTCTTGACTTTACAATGATCTTGAAGAGCCCAAATCTGAAGATTTCTGCATAATAAAGTTCACCTCCTGCAACCATCCAAGCATTGGCCCTATCATCAGGAGATTGTGAGTAATGGCACAGCCATCCCTGACTCACCCAGCCCGAATTCATAACCGTACAATCGGGCTGCATCAATCCAGATTAAAACTAGAGAACTCCAGATTAAACTCCAGATTAAAACTAGAGAACTCCAGATTAAACTCCAGATTAAAACTAGAGAACGTTAAAACCTGTTATGTCATAGTCAGACTTTTCACCAGGGGACCCCTCAAGACCTACTGGGTGGAACTGGACATGAGTAAATCGGGGAGAAAGTTGGAATAAAATAATATAATAACACCTAAATAAAATAATAATAAAAACAATAATAAATTCATGTAAAAAGAAAGTTTGCAATTATTTGTGGGTAGTTATAGTCTAATTAGTCTAGGTGTGTGTGATTCCAGTTGAAACTGAGCTCTGCAGGTCAGTGGATCTCCTGAGATGGAATCTTCAGATTTAGAACTGAACTACATCAATGAACACATTGCATGTTTTAACTATAATACAATACTGTTTTTTTTCCTACAGATTGGAGAAAGACAGAACCTGAAAACCCCAAAAGAAGAGGTCACAGTCTGATGATTTATTTACTGATGCAGCAATTTTTTACCTTTATCTCTAAATTACGTTTCCTTTCCCTTTTCACTTCATTTACTTAAACCCCTATCCTTTTTGAAAAAAATAATCAGTTTCAGTCTGAAATATTACTGTTCCTGACTGCTCAAGTCTCTAGTTTACAAGTCCTTCTGTCAAGTCCTTCTGTTCCACCTTAAATGGTGAAGCCGCTGCATTGTGTACAGGTAGCAAAATGTAACTGTTTCACAAGTTAAGGTGGAACGAAAAAACATGCTAGCCAAAAGTTTTTAGTTGTTGTGACTGTTTTCTGCATTTATTGTAAAACACTGAAGATTCTTCTGTAATAAAAGGCTTGTTATTTGAAGCTGTATTGAACATGACACCACTGATAGATATGAATAAAATTTGATTCTCCACAGTTTCTACATATTACACAAGTAATAAAAACAGTCAATAAAGGCTTGTGAAAATAAGGCTCTTAGACACTCACCTGGTGCATCATAATAATTGCGCAGTAAGAAAACTAGTCTTTGATACAGTGAGCTGAACTTTCTGAGATCTGATTTCTGAGAAGGTGGCGCCCTCTGTTAGTAATTAAATGTATTGTGTCTCTGTTGCTTCATACACAATATACACTACTGCTGAGTTTAGGTCCACACAAGCTCCTTTTTTAGCTAATGATGACCTTCTGTAGCTGAATCGGGTCTATCAGAACAGATAAATACAAAATTTGAGCTGTGAAAAAAATTGAGCTGTGAAACGCTAACATGCAATAAATAGACATGTAAGGGGCAGATTTACTAAAAGAGCCACTGATTACTGACAGTCTACTGACACTTTGTGCAGAAGGGCTCAGGGAATTCAGTAGCTTATCTACTAAGAACTTCTGTGTAAATGAATACTTCGACAACATAACCACTCATTTGGCTCACTTGCTGAGAAAAAGATGTTTTAGCCTTCTCTGATTCTGGTGTCTCATGAGGTCGACTTTTTTTCCTGAGAGTTTAACTTAGTAAATTAGTTATTACATGCGTTGTGGCCGTGTGAAGAGTGTGAGAGTTTTAAATGTACAACTTGTATTAAACCAAAGCTTCCTTCAAACAAGTCTTCTACTGTTTTTTTTCTTGTGTTCTCACACATAAATTCATAGACCCAAACCATCATTAGTGGAACACCCCGGCATGCATGATCAATTTCAATGCTAAATATGACCCCCCTAACATAGAGAAAACGGCTACATTTTCACACATATACACATACAGTGTTATCCTTAAAAAAACTGAAATGAGCAACATAAACTGAGTTTCTGTAACAGCCCAGCCTGTAGTTGGAAGACCTGCTAGGCCATCTTCGGTCACCAGAGGGAGGCACTGAGCACCTCAGTAATCCAGAGCAAATGGCAGCACCTGAGCCTTCTCTACTTAAGGGAAGCTCTCCCTTCTCACTGCTCAGTCTCGGGTTCTTTTTCGAGTACTTTACAAGTTTTAGCTGGTAATTTGGTAAAGGCTCCTGAGGTTTCTCTTGGGTCTCCCTGCTCTCTTGAGCACGTCTCACGGTTTTCTCTAGTTTACTCTGTCTTCCTAATTCACTGTTTGGTTTTGTTTGGAAAAAAAAATCCTTCTCCGTTCAGTTGAGCTAGTCAGTCTTTCTCCTGACGCTCCTTTGTTTTTCTTCCTCTCTCTCTTTCTCTCTCTCTCTCTCGCTTACATCATGGTGTTCTTCAGGCATTAACCCCCCTCACCCTCATATGGATCAAGCCTGAAAGCCCAGAGGCTATGTTAGCAAACACCTTGATTCCAGGACTCTAAAAACCAAAGACTACGTCTTGGAGTTCTAACTGACTCAGATCTCACTTTCACTAGACATATAAAAACAATCAAAACAGCCTTCTATCATTCCAGTAGTCCACCCAGTTAGAGGTACAACCCCATTTCCAAAGAAGTTGGGATGCTGTGCAAAATGTCAATAAAAACAAAATGCAATGATGTGCAAATCATTTAAACCATATTTTTCACAGAAAATAGTACAAAGACAACATATTGAATGTTGAAACTGAGAAATTTAATTGTTTTCTGAAAAATATATGACCATTTTGAATTTGAGACCAACAACACATTCTTGCTTAACATAGGATTTCATCTGCTCATTAGTTCAGGGTCTCCTTTGTCGTATTTTTAATTTCATAAAGCACCAGATGTTATCAGTGGGTGACAGGTCTGGACTGCAGGCAGGTCAGTGTAGCGCTGAGACTCAATACGGAGCAATGCTGTTGCCAAAACATGCATATATCATTCAGCATTAATGGTGCCTTTACAGATGTGCACATCACCCATGCCATGTACACTAATGCTCCCCTACACCATCATGAATACTGGCTTTTCAACTGTGCATTGTGCAAATGTTGATTCATCGGATGACAGGACATTTTTCTACTTCCCCTCAGTCCATTTTAAAAGAGCTCGGGCCCAGAGAAGGTGGCAGCATTCCTGGATCCTGTTTATGTACGGTTTCTTCTTTGCAGTTTAGAGTTTTAACTTGCATTTGTGGATTGCACTGCGAACTGTGTTCACAGACAGCAGTTTCTGGAAGTGTTCCTGAGCCCATGCAGTGATTTTCACTACAAAATCATATCTGTTTTTAATGCAGCGCCGCCTGAGGGCCCAAGGATCACGGACAGCAAATGCTGGCTTTTGGCCTTTTCCCTTGCATACAGAGATTTCTCCAGATTCTCTGAATCTTTTATTGATATTATGTACTGTAGACAATGAAAAGCAAAAGTTCTTTGCTATTTCATGTTGAGAAACGTTATTCTTGAATTGTTACACTATTTGATCATGCAGTCTTTCACAGAGTGGCAAACCCCTCCCCATCTTTACTTCTGAAAGACTCAGACTCTCAGGGATGCTTTTTTATACCCAATCATGTTACTGACCTGTTGCCAATCAACTACCAGGTGTTTTTTAGCATTACACAACTTTACCAGCCATTTGTTGCCCCTGTCCCAACTTTTTTTGGAATGTGTTGTTGACATCAAATTCAAAATGGCCAAATATAAAAAAAATACTATAAAATTTCTCAGTTTCAACATTTGATTTATTGTTTTTGTACTATTTTCAATGAAATACAGGGTTTTCATGATTTTCACATAATTGCATTTTGTTTTTATTTACATTTTTCACAGTGTCCCAACTTTTTTGGAAATTGAGTTGTACCGGCTGGACTACTGTAATGTTCTCTTAACTGGATTTCCAAAAGAGAACATTAAACAGCTGGAGCTCATTCAGAATGACCTGCCGCTAAAGTTTTAATCAGGACCAGGAGAAAAGAGCACATTACTGCAGCTTTTCCCATTAGTTACAGAACATTTAAATTGCCGGTACTAGTCTATAAATCACTGGAGGGTTTAGGCCCAGCAAACATCTCTGATACTGTTAACGAATATAAGCTGACTAGGTCTCTTAGATCCATGGATTCAGGTCAGCTAGTAGAGCCCAGAGTCCAAACTAAACGTGGTGAAGCAGTGTTTAGCTTTTATGCTGCATACAACTGGGAGAAACTGACAGCAGATCTTAGGTTTAAAACATCTCTCATATACCTGTAATTTATCTCTGAGACTCAAATTCAGCCCCAAAAAGAGGCAGTGATGGGGAATGAACAGAGCCCCTGTGGACGGAGGTCTGAAAGAGTGATGTCGAGAATTCTGGGGGCAGCAAATCGGCAATGGCAGAAAAGCAGCACATGACTGGGAAAGCAGCAGGTTCCCAAGGGCACAGGCAGCATCTTCACAAAACAAACCAATGCTAATCCAGTCTGAGGGCTGGAAAGGGAGCAGCATACTGAAGGCCAACAGCAGGTAGGTGTGTGGTAGCTTCCAAGTAGAGTAACTTCTCTTTCATCTCT